GGGTATGCTCTGTTATGAACTCACGATGCTATGATTATCTCACTCAGCTATGAGCTGACCCTCTTTTACTCTTCTTCTTTGCTTATGCTATGTGTAAGCAGATCATCAGCAGCAGTAGTAGATAAGTGTTAGGTGGGCGAGGAGCTAGAGTTGAAGTCAGGATGAGGTATGATCTTCAACTATTCTGTGCTTGGACTACTACTCGGGATGTTGGCCAGTGATCCACAGCTTTTTGTAAAAATGTTTTGAGAATGTTTTTCATGTGCATACTAGCTTCTGATGTAGTGTGAGATATCCACAGGTGTGGAAAGTTGATGATATGTGTATATGTTGTGTAACTGTTTAAGTTGTGACGATTATGGTATGTATAAGTATGGTATGCAGTTGTGGAGTATGAAAAGTGTGACTATGGCTAAGAAAAGCCAATGCATATGGTTGTGAGTATATATGTTTGTGATAAATTATTTTGCAGGATAAGTTGCAAGAACTGTTAGCCCATTACGCGAGTAATTCATGTCGAAATTTTATTTGGGTAAATTTTGATAATTAATGTAGCTCCCGAGATTAATTCCGCTGCAATTGTATGAATAATATGATTAGCTAATACGCATAGGGTAGGGTGTTACACTCCTTGTAGTGCCATGGGCCTCCCTCGAATACCCATCGACAAGTCGATTCCGAAGGAAATTGAAAGAGCACCAGTCTGTCCTCCAGCATAGAGACCTTCACTTCACCTTCCTTACCCCAAATCCAGTTAGTCCAGAAGCGGAGCACCGAGATTGAAGGAGGATCGACAAGGAATTGCCCAACCAAGCTGTTATCCCAATGCTTTGCTCCTTCCTCAATCACCGACTTAGGGATTCGTAGAGATCCATTGACGAATTCTGGCTCGTAATAATCCAATCGATTCTCTTCAGCAACGTGGAACAAAGAAGCCCAGGACCTGCCGCCACTGACGACGCCCTGGGAGGCTCTGTCAGCGACGGCGGCCATCGATCCGATTTTTCGAGCGCTCAGAGAAGAGAGAAAAGAGGAGAGAAGAGAGAGAAGACCTATTTAAAATTTTTTGGTTATAATTTGACTAAGATTACATATAATTTAGGCACGAAAATGTTGAGAATGGGGTGGGTCAGGGCAGGTCGGGTCGATGAGAGTACCCATTACTGCCCCAAAACAGGCCAAACAGGTTGGGTAAAACGGGTAAGGTCAAAATTGCCATCCCTAGTGATTTGAGGTTAATGGTCGGATTGAATTCAATCAGTCCAAGCTAATTTTAAAAGAATATATAAGAAAATCTATAATACTAAATAAGTTATGAATATATTTATCATATTTTCAATGGTAAATACAATTTATTACTCAAAACTTTAAAACTTCTCAAATTATTAATAGAACTTGTCAAAATATAAACTATTTGCCAAATCCATTGTAACGCATCAAAACATTAGCATTTATTTGTTACTGTTAGTAATTTTGTAATTCTTTTTTAGTTAAAATACTAAAATTTTGGAATGTTGACCGTCACTTGTCTCTTCCAAGTCAGTATCAAGTTGCCAAGTCAATATTAGTAACAAACTGTTATCGAGAAGTTAACATTTGACTAATATTTTGTATTTTGAGGAATTTGGCTAAAATTTAGAAACATTTGAAGTTTGTCTAATGAATTTGTATTTTGAGGAATTTCACTAAATCAAACAAATTCAAGCTCCATCCCACCTGACCTAATAAAAAGTGCAATCTATCCATCCCCTCACCTTAGGCCAAACCACCCCTGAAACCTGCTTCGGCTACCATCACCGGTCGGGAGTCTTTCAATTTGTGTCACAACCTACTGAAGTCACATCCTCCTCTCCCCCTCGCGACCTCTGACTTCACATTATCCCAACCTGCATCAAGTGTTGGGCGCGTATGATGGAGGTGACTTTTGCGTAATTCGAGGTTTCGGGAGTTTCACTTGGTTACGATGGTCACTACAAAATCTATGATCTGTTGGGTGCGATAGTCGATGAAACTGCGGCTGTGGGGGGTTGTATTTAGGTTGGAATTTTCGCTTCTTGTAGGAGAAGAGTGAGCAGGGGAGCTGCCGTTACCTCTGGCCTTGCGACCTCCAGCAGCATGGGGGAGACATAGTGATGATTACACATATTTTACCCCGATTTCTTGATTATTTAGCTTAGTGTTTATCATAATATGGCTTATTTTATGCTAATTTGTGTTCTCTTGTCACATTTCAGGTCCTAGCACGTAAAATGAAGCATGGACACAAGTTTCAAGTCAATCGGAGATCAATTGGCAACTCGGGGGAAGAAACTCGGACATGATCTAAGGAAGACTAGATTTATCCCTCATTTTATAGACAATAATCATGTAATATTTTCATAAAATGAAAGAGGACGAGACTATGAGCGTCTGGGATCAAACGATGACTAATTTGGAGTACGGACGAGGGAGAAACGAGACATGAAAGACAGGGGAATAGGAACAATGAGTTCCACGGGTTTGAGAGCCAATTCCATGACCGTGGATTAGGAGTTCATACCGTGATTTTTTATCACGAGAAATCCCCGATTTTGTGTATCTATTTCACGAACGGGGACTAGAAGGGGTGACCGTGTAACATGCCAACAGCGGGTATAAAGGCTCGTTTTATACTCTTTTGCAAGGGGAGAGTTGGGTTTTGGACCCAAACATCCAAGGGACAAACCAAATAGTGAGATGACGATATGAGGGCGTTTTTGTAGCCTTGAAAGCTCGAGAAACAAGCCCATACTTGAATAATTATCATCTGAAGATTCTTACGGCAGTCTCTCTCTTCTCTATGGAGTAACTTCCCTTCACTTAAATTTTGAGGACCCTAGCTATGTTCGTTTGATTGAATGCTTGTATGAGTACTCCTACTTGATAATCTTGAGTTCATATTCAATCTATGCATGTTTTCATGATTCAATTCTGCTTTAGTCGAGATTATTGATTATGCTATGATCATATGAGAACGAATACCTTATTAGATCAATAGAACACCATAGATTGATAGTATTGGATCGATTGCTCTAGCCGAGGTGTCGATTCACTACTTCGTATCAATTGAGAACCTCATTCAAATCTAGTTCAAAAAATGTTTGTTTGATTGAATGCTTGTATGAGTACTCCTACTTAATAATCTTGAGTTCATATTCAATCTATGCATGTTTTCATGATTCAATTTTGCTTTAGTCGAGATTATTGATTCTGCTTTGATCCTATGAGAGCGAATACCTGCCTATATCAATAGAGCAACATAGATTGATAGTATTGGATCGATTGCTTTAGTGGAGGTTCGATTCACTGCTTTGTACCAATTGAGAACCTCATTCAAATATAGTTCATAACGCCTTCATCGGTTGTTCTAGAGAATGATACGTCCCTCTAGGCAATCCACTCAAGAGGGCCTTGACTTCTTTAGTCGAGATTCAAGGTCTAGTCAAGGATTCTCCAAATTGTGAATGAAAGTGAAACATGTTAGAGATCATCAATCATTAATATGGCTAGTGGCTAGGGGAATCATACCTAAGTGAGTTTCCAACATGTAATTAGTAGTCTAACCCAGTTTAGCTTGTAGATTAGTTTAGTTAATCAACCATTAATCTTATTTGCTAGATAATGAACCAAAGTTGAGTTATAGTAAATCCAGAGACCTCGTGGATTCGATATTTATTACTTGCACCACTATACTGCATTCTCTTTCATTAGTTATACTTGGCCAATGTTAGGAGTTGTGTTTTAGTGAGTTACATAGCGAAAGACGGGCGGCGATGGAGATGTCTAGGGAATAGCAGAGGCGGTTAGGGTAAGCAAAGATCATGAATGCGACGAAGGAGTTGGAGCCTTGGAGGAGGCGGGGAAAGAGGAGAAGAGTCATAATCAGAGATTCATGGTGGCGACGACGTCAGGAAGAGGAGTAGGATTGTGATCAGGTAGGGTTTGAGTGTTTAGGAGATTATAAGAAATTTACTTTTATTTTCTAGTTTTTGTGAAAATGAAGTAAAAAGTTTAACAGATTAAATTTTATTCTATTTATTTTTTAAATGTCACACCACTCATTAATGGTCAACTATGGGATTTGACTGCAACATCAGATAAAATTGACGGAGTTGGATTATCATTGGCGTTTAGGAGAAAGGCTTCTATCGTATCTTTTTGGATTTGGACGATTTCTCATCACGATTTCAATGTATAACAGAGCAATCTAAGTTTTTTCTTTGAGTTTCTTCGTTTTCATTTCGAGGTATAACAGAGCTTTATCTTATATTTGTTTATAGCAGCCCCATCTACTCTTTTGTTTTCAACTTCATCTTCAGTTGTTTTCGGTTTCATCTTTGTGTTTTCTGAGGTTCAATTTTTCTGATGTATCTCTATTTTTTATTATCTTCTAGTAGAAACTTGGATTTTATAGTAGTTTCATTTGTGATTATATTTTGTTTGAATTTATGTTTTTGGAATTCGCGCTCAATATGTTTGTCATTTAGGTAACCAGTTCGTGAAGCGAGAGCATAAAAGCGTCTAACATTCAAGAATTCAAAATTGAAAGCGTGAAGAAAGCGTTATTATTATATCATTTATAATTATTATTTACAAATAATTTCGAATGTAATTATTAAATCGTACTAAATAATACATACAATCACCGGTAAAAAACAAAACAAAAAAGTCTCACATTTTTTTTGGAAAAATAAACTATCCATTTAAATTTATTGTCACTTTCTCCTTATCCCTGCCATTCACCCATCCGTCGTCAACAACACAACAAAACTCTCCCTCTCTATCTTCTTACACTTTCTCTCTCTCTCTCTCTCTCTCTCTCTCTCTCCCTCTTCTCTGATACATAGGCAGAGCAATCTAAACTATGTTCTTCCCCTTTTCTTTGTGGTCAATTGTGTCGTGCAAGCGATATAATATTTTTCTCTATTCCAAAGATATCATAACAGATCAATATATAGCTGCAAAACAATACATCGACCGCTAATTTGCAGAGATGAAGAAAAAACACTGCATCGGCAATGTTGATTCAACACCAGAAGGAGATAAAGCGATCAGCTGGGAAGGAGGAGAAGTGTTTCTCTGTGCTTTGTAACTCATTCCATCGACGATAACTTGGAGGAGGAAACAAAAAACTCCAGCAACGATTATTGATTTGGGTAAGGCGATAGAATGACCAGAGGAAGACTTTCCTCTTTGATTTCTATTAGAGCTTAGTTCGGCAAGAGATTCGCGAATTTAAAAATATAATTCGCGCTCCAATGATTTGTAATTCGTGAATTATCAAAGCTTTATAAGGAAAGCGCGTTTTCACGCTCCAATTCGGGAGCGGCAAGGATGCATCCAAGAATTGGGTGACCTAATTTGTCATTGCGCTTTTTGAAATGTGTTTGATATCTTCATTGATGTTGATTCTAGATGGATGGATAAATGGCCAATCTACGTATGGTGTTGGAACATACAATTCCTTGTTTATTTTCTATGACTGTGATGTTTATGATGATTGTGATATTAGGGTGGTTGATTGTTATATTATGCTGGTATGACTATGATATTGTGTTGGTATGATTGTGATATTATTACAATGTGATTGTGATATTTACGCTTGTATGATTCTAATATGGTTTTGTGGTATGATTGTAATATTATTGTGGTGTGGCTGTTAATTATGTTGGTATGATTGTGGTATTAAGCTTAGGGTTGGGAAACGGTGCATGATGACTCGATATTTGCACATGTTTTCCCCTTTGTTTCTTGATCGTTTAAGCTTGCATTATCTCTTCTTTGGCCTATTTTACACTAGGTTGTGTTCCTTTATTACATTTCAGGTCCTAGCACATAAAGTGAAGCATAGGCTCAAGTTTAAAGTCAATCAGAGATCAATTGGCGATTAGGGAGAAGAAACTCGGGCATGACCTGAGGAAGAATGGATTTCTACCTCACTTTATGGACAAAGAATCATGAAAGCTTGTCATAAAAAGAAAGAGGACGAGAATACGAGCGTCTGGGATCAAACGGCGACTAATTTGGAGTCTGGACAAGGGAGAAACGAAGCATTGAATATAGGAGAACAGGTTCGGCAGTAAAAACACGGGCTGGCCTAAAGAAAAACACGGTCCTGTCCATATTTGTGCACGACCGTGTTTTGGCCAAAGAGGGCTGCTGGGGGCAAAACACGGGCGGGCAAAAGTAAAACACGACCGTGTCCTCGACCGTGTTTTGCCCAGAATCGAGATTTTTAGGCAGATTGATGCCAAAGGAAAGGGAGAGCTGGGTTTTGGATCCCAAACACCCAAGGGACGAACCAAAGAGAGAGAGGGCGATTTGAGGGCATTCTAAGAGTGGAATTGGAGGATTTCTTTGCCTTGGAAGCTCGAGGAACAAGCCCGGACTTGAAGACTGATCATCTGAAGATTCTTACTGCAGTCTCTCTCTTCTCTATGGAGTAACTTCCCTTCACTTAGGTTTTGAGGAACCCTAGCCATGTTTGTTTGATTGGATGATTGTATGAGTACTCTTACTTGATAATCTTGAGTTCATATTCAATCTTTGCATGTTTTCATGTTCAAATTTTCCTTTTTAGTCGAGATTATTGATTATGCTTTGATCCTATGAGAGCGAATACCTTATTAGGTCAATAGAGCACCATAGATTGATAGTAGTGGATCGATTGCTTTAGTCGAGGGTTGATTCACTGCTTTGTATAGATTGAGAACCTCATTCGATAGAGGGAATCTAGTTCAGGATGCCTTGATCGGTTGTTCTAGAGAAGGATACGTCCCTCTAGGCAATTGACTCAAGAGGGCCTTGTTCCTTTAGTCGAGACTCAAGGTCTAGTCAAGGATTCTCCGCATTGTGAATGAAAGTGAAACAAGTTAGAAATCATCAATCGTTAATCTGGCTAGTGGCTAGGGGGATACCTAAGTGAGTTCCCAACCTGTAATTAAATTAACTTTAACTGTAGTTTGCTAGAGTAGTTTTAGTTCTTCCTTATTAATCTGGTTTGCTAAATAATGAACTGAAGCTGAGTAATAGTAACTCTAGAGACCCGTGGATTCGATATTTATTACTTGAGCCACTATACTGTAGTCCCTTCCATTGGTTGCACTTGGCCATTGTTAGGAGTTGTGTTTTAGCGTGTCAGTGCACTCTGGTCTAGGCCATACCATATATAGGGTATGTGGTCCATAATAAGAGACTGGAGCAAAGACCATGGACTAGACAATATGCTATACAGTCCAGACCAGACCACGCATGTGCAGTGCGGTTGACCAAACAAACAATGCTCAACAAATTATGTATTGTCCATTACTATATACTAGCTAGTAACTAACAAATAAAATAAATTTGGATTTCATCATCAACGACAACTAGGGATGGAATTTAATATGCCCCTGGGGTGTATGTTTATCAAAGTCACGCAGCTAACGACTCAATCGAAGAATCGATTGAGCTCGAATAAGGAACGGAGTGTTCTTAATACGATCTTGGATAGAACGGAACCAAAAGGACGATTCCACACCTGGGGAACGCTCGATTGGATTAAAGGGTAGTTTCTCGACCACGATTGAAATGACTATTCAATCGATACACAAGCTCAGCAAGTTTGGAATCCACCAAACCCAAAACAAGTCGCAACTTGCACAAACCAAACGGTTTCTTTTCTATTCAACAAAGTCTGAATTTTTACAACGAAAAATAGAAAGCTATTTATAGCCAAGAAAACCTAATAAAAACCTAGATGAACAAGGAAACAAATAAATTAAAATTCTACTCTAAAAAGGACACAAAATTCGGACCCAAACTTCCTTTCTTGAAGCACAAGTAAGCTGCCCGCAAAACAGTCAAAAGGCAGCTTTCGTACTAACTTCGCGCCTTTCGTTCGAGACCTTCCCGAACTCCAATTCTTCATCCAATTCCTTCCCTTTGTTCACAAACATACCTAGTTTCGTGTTGTGGAAGCCTTTGGACTTGAATAAGATCCATACTCCTCGAATTAAGCTCCAAAGTAGGCTTCACAAAACAGTTTCCAGAACCATTTTCTAGCAGTTTTCCAGTTTTGAGGTAGCAACTTTAAGGCCTTGGAAAACAACCTTAATGACATCATATGGATCCATAAAGCATACCATTGCAAAAGATGGCAACTTTATATGCAAAACAAAACCTTAATCTTGAATTTCCACCAAGCCAATTGAGAGAACCATGCCTCCAAAGTATGTACCCTGAACATGGATTTTGACTTAGCCAAATTCTGCCTTTCTTCTTCCCAACTTTGATAGCTTCTTTGTCAACAGGCTCCCAATTGAAGTTTTCATTCACCCCAGGACCTCGATTCAGCGCCATTGCTAACAAATCGTCGATCCCCTCATTCCCGCCGTTGGCCGCATTTGAAATTCCAAAACCCAGAATTTGTGATTCTAATTTAGGCGTTTTCGATTCCGGCCTCTTCGTGACAAATTGACTGATCCTAAAGCTTCCTGGAACGTCCCTTGATGATTCTATATGAGCCGTTTGGATCGAATTGCCTCCAAACTCGCCAACCCCTTCCAAATTTTCGAAACCGAGATTTTCCAATTGGAAATTGGGTGTTTGTGATTCAAGCAGGGTCGTGACGAATTGATCGATGATACACCTTCCAGACAGCTCCACTATCGATGCTGAATCATTTTTGTGGCTCCATTCGCGCTCAAACTCGCTATACCCAAAGGGGTTTCTGCGGCTGTTCGTTGTTGTAAACAGGGGTGTCTGTGCGCGAATTGAACCTTCAATTCTAGCTTCGTTCGTCTCCGATGAATAATATTCCGACATTGTGGGGGTCATGGGGATCATTTTGGCACCAGTGGTTGAGGTCGACGTCGTCCCTACAACTCCAACCAATTCAGTCTCTCTCCTGCCCTGTTTCGTCGGACGAATTCGAGACCCTGCTGCTCGCGTCACCGGACTGAGTTGTCCCTCAATTCGCCGGCCTCCCTTCACTCTCTAGGGTAGTTTTGAACACGGCGGCGTGCTCTGGTTTTCCTCCCTCGCCGCCGGCAGAACTCATAGAGTTTGAACTCTGTTTTTCCGAAACTGAACAGAGGTCATTCTGGGCAGTGGGTTCAGGCAAGATTTCTTCCTTCTGAGGCTTCTTGAAACTCATGACATTGAACTGAACACGTCTTTGAACCCACAACTGAGCCTTGGACTCCTTTCCCGTAGTTCGATTCTCCTCCAATTGCTTTTGATCTTCGTAAACTTCGTCCGGAGAAAGGGGCTTTAGCACAATCGTCTTACCTTGATACGGAAGCTTGTAGCGGTTGGTCCAGCCCTCGTGTGTGACCTTACGTTCGAATTTCCAAGGTCGGCCCAGTATTAGGTGAGCGGTTTGCATCGGTACAACGTCACAAATCACCTCATCTTCGTACCTGCCGAGTTTAAAACAAACCACAACTTGTTTCGTCACATTGATCGTCCCGTGTTCGTTGATCCACCTGAGTTAGTAAGGCTGATAATGTTTTTGTGTCTTCAAGCCAAGCTTCTTGACGGCTGACTCACTCCTACTGTCACTCTAGAAATTGGCCAAGTGTAACCACTTCCTAAAGCGTAGTATAGCGGGTTTGGGTTTTAATGTCAACCCGGGTCCTAGATTTGATGACTACTCGGTGAATTCTTGTTATCTAGCAATGAAACTTTAATGCAAGTCTAAACTAACAAACAAGCAAAGCAACTAAACGGTTGTTTTCAGGTTAAGAGAGTTCACCCGGATATGGTTCCCCCTAGACTGCAGTTAAGCCGAATTGCAATTACCAAGTTCAGTTTCTATGATAGTTATACTGCGGAAGGTTCTTAAACAGCCTGAAGTCTCGACTAAAGGTCTCCAGATCCTCTCAATCTGAGTCTCCAGCGGGCGACTAACCTCCACCGGAGTAAACAGATTGAGGCCCTAACGAACAAAACCTCCACTACCGAAGTGAATCCGGTACAGAATAGTGAGTAGGCTCCTCGACTAAAGTCACCAACTCCCTACCTTCAATCAAGGATGCTCTATCAACCTAGGCAGATATTCTCATTCTAGGTTAAAGCAGAAACAACAGGAATTTGATCAGGATTCATGCCATTCAATCATTCAAACCTCAATTGAATATAATCAAATCATAGAATCAGTACTTGGGTTCATACAATCAAACCTAACATGCAAATCTAGGGTTCTGTACACCCAGATGAATGGGAGAACTACTCCATGGAGAAAGAAGCAAAAGCAGAATCAGACGCGGTAATCATACTGTGAAGAATGGATTTCTGCTCCTGGACGTTGATCGGCACTTCTCCAAGCTCAAGCCAAGCTCCAATAGTGATGAAGATCAAGCTAGGGAACTCTTGCTCGTCGCTTTCTCTCTCTAGGAATCGCTCTGTCTCTCTTAAACTCGAATCCCCTTATGTTTTGGCTGAAATCTGCCTAAAAAGGCATCACTGGGCAAAACACGGTCGAGGGCACGGCCGTGTTCTGCTCCAGCCCGCCCGTGCCCTTGCCAAGTGTTAAATACATGGCCAGCCTTTTGGGGAAAACACGGGCGTGCTTTTGGTGGACACGGCCGTGTTCTGTCTCAGTCCTGCCCGTGTTTTGAGCTAGTGTTTGCCAAACTCAGACCAAGTCTCGGCAGTAAAAGCACGGTCTAGGAACACGGCCGTGTTCTGATTTAGGCGTGCCCGTGTTTTGGCTCCAGCTCGACCGAATGACTTCCGAATGCCCCGAAACTCGTGCTTAGCCTTTCCTTTGACGCCTGGGACGTGAAATATGATAAAGTAGCACAACCCGGCGTAAAATAGGCCAAAAATACACGACTATGCCCCTCAAACGGATAAGAACTAGGGGTGCAAGTACGTGCAATTACATCGTTATCAACGGCGTCTAAGCTTACGAGGTTTGCACAACTGCCTCCATCGATCACCAAAGAAACCAATTTTTCTTTAACAAAACACCGGCTGTGAAATAGGTTGTCCCGCTGCTTGTCGGACTCCCTGTGCTTGATGACGATTGCTGGCTGCTTCTTTTGGCCACAATTTGGAAGATTTTTGGCCTCGCTACTGCCTCCAACACACTCCTCCTCTCTGGCAGCGTTTTCTATCGAGATTCAAACACCAAAACAACAACAGCAGCTGCTCAAAACAGGGGTTGCTTCTCCCCGTTTTTCGACGAATTCTGTTTGTATGAAACAACAAATTTTTGCCTTCTTCTTCGCCCTTGTGTAGAACCGGGCTCTGATACCACTTAATACGCCCCTGGGGGTGTATGTTTATCAAAGTCACGCAGCTAACAACTCAATCGAAGAATCGATTGAGCTCGAATCAAGAACGAAGTGTTCTTAATACGATCTTGGATAAAACGGAACCAAAAGGACGATTCCACACTTGGGGAACGCTCGATTGGATTAAAGGGTAGTTGCTTGACCACGATTGAAGTGACTATTCAATCGATACACAAGCTCAGCAAGTTTGGAATCCACCAAACCCAAAACAAGTCGCAACTTGCACAAACCAAACGGTTTCTTTTCTATTCAACAAAGTCTGAATTTTTACAACGAAAATAGAAGGCTATTTATAGCCAAGAAAACCTAATACAAACCTAGATGAACAAGGAAACAAATAAATTAAAATTCTACTCTAAAAAGGACACAAAATTCGGACCCAAACTTCCTTTCTTGAAGCACAAGTAAGCTGCCCGCAAAACAGTCAAAAGGCAGCTTTCGTACTAACTTCGCGCCTTTTGTTCGAGGCCTTCCCGAACTCCAATTCTTATCCAATTCCTTCCCTTTGTTCACAAACATACCTAGTTTCGTGTTGTGGAAGACTTCAGACTTGATTAAGATCCATACTCCTCGAATTAAGCTCCAAAGTAGGCTTCACAAACCAGTTTCCAGACTTAACCATTTTCTGGCAATTTTCCAGTTTTGAGGTAGCAACTTTGAGGCCTTGGAAAACAACCTTAATGACATCATATGGATCCATAAAGCATACCATTGGAAAGATGGCAACTTTATATGCAAAACGTTAATCTTGAATTTCCGCCAAGCCAATTGAGAGAACCATGCCTCCAAAGTATGTACCCTGAACATGGATTTTGACTTAGCCAAATTCTGCCTTTCTTCTTCCTAACTTTGATAGCTTCTTTTTCAAGTAATTGTGACGTGAATTGTGGGCAATTTGGGATCATATCAGCATTTATAGGCGTAACCACGGGTATTTGACCCTACCCAACCCGGTCAACGAGGTGAATCCCCGCATTGACTGGGTATGAGGCAGATACGGGTAATACCCGCAAAGAAGCTTGTGGGTATGGGGCGGGGATGGATTTGAGTGCCTCCGCCCCATACCCATACCCATATTCGCCCCGTCATTACTCATGTCATATATTGTAAAATATAACTACTGTAACGTAGGAGTTGTAGGTGGCAATTTTTATGTTCTTTCATCTTTAATATACTTTTTTTGGTATATTAATAGACTTTGTTTCTCTACGAAAGAAGAACTTTGGAGGATAATTTGACTTTTATGTGTGGATTTTTATTGTTTAAGAGGTGCTTTGGAGATGAATAATTTGGTGTTGGATTATTTATTGGTACTTTGTTTATGGAACTTCGTAGGAGTTGGATGATCTAATTAAGATTATCAGTGATTCTTTATTAGGTTCATCATTGATTAGGTTTGATGTTTCAACCCAATAGTTATATGTTTTATTGAATTCAAGTGTGTTAATTTAGTTATAATCATAATCAGATGTACGGGGCGAGGATTACCCTCGGGTATCCGAAACCCGCGGGAATGGGGATGCGAAATCTCCCCCCACATGGGGATGGGGAGGGTATGGATTTTATAATTGAAAATGGGTATGGGGATGAGTTTAGTACAATCCTCACCAAACCCGACCCATTGCCATCCCTAACGACAACATAGTTCAAAATTCATTAACAATAGTCCAAATTCAATAAAGAAGAATAAAAATATCAATAAATCAATGATTAGGAGCTTCCCTCGTGGTACGTCTTGCGGGAGGGATGGTTTTCGAGCTCAACATCTTATGGATTGTTTGGGTGGTTCTGCTGTGGCTATCTCTGATGATTTTCTAGCCTCTATTACTCGAGTGATTAATATTTTCCTTGAGGGTCGATGTTTGCAGCCTCTTGGTGAGTACATTGCTAGCGCTCTTGTTTATAAGGTTGATGTTTGTATCCGTCCTATAGCTTTTGGTACTGTTTGGAGACGTCTTGTTTATAAGGTTGATGCTTGTCTTGTTGGCCCTAGTTTATCTAGTTATTTTTGCTGGTCTTCAGTTTGGGGTCGGGGTTTCTAGTGGAGAAGAGGCTATTTTGCATGCCTTGAACCGGTTCGTTGAGGCACGCGGTGATGACGTAGGTCTTTCTATGCTGCTAGTCGATTTCCATAATGCTAACAATTTATTTGATTGTGGGGCCATGCTTCAGGAAGTTCGTCGTCATTTCCCAGTCATCTCCCAATTGGCAAAGTTCTGTTACTCTAAACTACCCAGCTGTATCATGGGATGCATAGCTTATGGTCTTGTCAGCGGGGTTCAGCAGGGAGACCCTTTGGATGATCATAGACTCTTTTGATTTGAGTATGCATGCTTGGTATTTGGATGATGGCATTGTTGTGGGGGACACTTTGGTTGTTGGGAAGGTCTTGGACATGATTATGGATGAAGGCCCTCGAGTTGGCCTTCACCTAAATGTGGGTAAGATGGAGGTTTTTTGGGCCTATTGAGGATCCTAGGAGTCGGCTTCCGGGTCTTTTCCCTGCCTCTATCGCTCGGCCTCCACACGGTGTCACCGTTCTGGGTCTTCCTGTCAGTTCTTGTCCTGATTTTGCTTTTGGACTTGGTTGCGAGGATTGATGACCCACAGTGTGAGTTGCTTTTGCTTCAGGCCTGTACTGGTATTTCTAAACTCTATTTCGCTTTACATACTTGCTCCCCTCGTATTTTTGGGTCGGCCACTCAGCCGAGCTGTCTTTTGACACAACACTTTAGTCTAGTTTATAATCTATTGTCACTGCTTCTGGACCCGGGTTTGGTGATTGGCAGTGGCGGCTTGCCACCTTCCCTTTTCATTTGGGTGGGCTTGGGGATTATGCTGCTAGAGATGTCTTGCATTATGCTTTTTTTGCGTCTCGTTTGCAGTCTGCGGAGTTGCAAGCTAAACTCCTAAGTCCTTCTGGTAATCTATCTCCTGGCCCTACTTTTGATGAAGCCCTACGCACCTTTAATGCGGTTACATGTTTTGATCTCTAACATGACCCTAGTGGAGTTGCCGCCCCAAACTTATGAAGAAATTGGCAGATATATATTTCGCGAAGGTAGTTAGAAAAAAAAATTGAAGTGAAATTTTTTTATGGAGATATCCATTTTCTACATATTCTATTTTCTCGTTGACTACACGTCAGGTGACTTTGTGGAAGTCTCAGCAGAGTGCACACTCTTCTGATTGGTTGAGTGTTGTTCCTATTGGTGGGTTGGGCCAGACTATGAATGGGAGGACATATCGTAGTGTGCTTAGTCATCGCCTGAGTGTCTCATTGTTTCGGTATCTAAGCCCAATCCTACTTGTTCCCCTGTCTTTCCTGGTGATGTCTTTGGGATCATGTTGTGTCTTGTGTTAGTTTTGTGGGCATTAAGCATCGACACAACCTCGTTCGTGACACCTTATTGGACATCTATTACAGGTCTGAGATTTCTGATGCTAGGGAGGTCGATATCGGTTTGGTTGATGGGCATGACAGACCCCTACGTCCTAGGGATTTGCTGCTTTATTCCTGGGACAGGGGGCAAGATTTGTGGGTAGAATTTTTTCCCACATGGTGGTTGTGGAGAGAATTTTTCTCCCACGTTCACCACTCACGTAAAGCAATTGTCTATACATACGATTACTTTAGAAATTGTCTGAGAGGCTAGACCATGCCTTAATGTGAAAGTTTTTGGAGGGCCACTCACTACAGATGTGGTCCCACAAGCTTGCCCAACACCACTCCCATCCATGCCCATTCAGCCCGATGAATGCGAACCGTCATGGGGGCTGCAAGGATGGTATGAAAGCTTACTATCTGACAAGTTGAAGGTGAAATGTCAGGCTAGGGCACATTGATGTCAAGAAAAATGGAAAAAGTGATTTGTCTAAGGACTTTCTACATTTTTCAACTAAGTGTGGGAAAAAGGGCATGTCTCCAGATCCATGCAGTGGGAAAGGGGGCATGTCATCAAACGTGAAGAATGAAGTGAGTGGCAAGTCTAAGCAGGTGTTGCATACCCGTGCCATCCTTGATTTTCATAACTTTGAGATCATGTCAAAGAGTGGACATGGAGGCAAGTTCGTTGCTAAGGCCCCGCATAGCATGCCAGCCATGAATGGTCGACAAAGGGGCATGCCATCAACCATAAATAGTGGACATGTAGGCATACTCAATAAACCATAACAAACCCGAGCCACACATGCTTGTAGTAAGCATGATAGTGTAGCTAAGTATGGCAAGTGGAGCATGTCAACAACTACAAGCAGTGGGAAGATAGACGTACCAAAGAAGCCCCAACAAACCCAAGCAAGCCACACATACTTGTAGTAAGCGTACTGATTTAGCTAAGTGTGGCAAGGGGGGCACCTCAATAACCATGAACGATGGCATGGGGGCACGTCATGTAGTGGTGGACATGGGGGCATGTCATCGTCTGTAAAGAAACAAGTGATCCTACAAACGACCAACAATGGTTATGTGTAAAATGTGGAAGCCAACAAGTCGTATGAGTTGGACAAAGCCAAGTTGGCCTTAAGGGTGGTCTTCGACTCATTGAGTCCAACCACTTGTCTTCCCAACTATATGGGAAGAGTAAGAATTGTTGGGGGAAACCAAGGCAAGTTAAAACTCGTGGTCCCGTTAACGAGGCCAAAGAGTTGAGAATTCCTAATGTACCATTTGGAAAGAAGCAAACACATCAAGTTCAACATCAACCCAATTTGTCTAGTAAGGTGGCTCAGGTTGAGCAGCAGATACCGCTTGCAAGCCTACCAAGGCAAGACATGTTGAGCAGGTACCATCTGTTGTTAAGTTGGAAAATTCGAAACCAACAGAAAAAGAGTCGTCCCCCCTAAAGGAGGGAAGGCAAGTAGTGTATGGATGGTTGGCTTGGTTTAATCCATGGACATAGCAATGGGTGTACACCTTTGGCACATTGGTGGGTGCCAAAGGTTGTGGATATCAGTGACGTTTGTCACTCCCTTCTATATTAAAATAAAATAAAAATAAAAATTGGCAAGTAAAATAAAGAGAAAAAATCATAGGCCAATCATGGCTAAAAAAGATGACGTAGTGGCAAGTTGTGTTAGAGTTGTAACACTTGCGGCGTGAGGACCTTACCATGACTGATAAGGAACAAATCATATGGTTAGGTCTATGGAGCCCCTACACTTTTTTGTTTGGTTGGTACATCATGCCACTTACCTGGCATTGTCTGGTGTAGACTCTTTATCGTCCGACCACCCGTCCAATAAGGCTTATTTGTCGAGTGAGGATGACGTGCTACATAATCGATCGACTAATGACAAGTATCTCAAGCCCTACATCTCTTCCCTTTGGGACGTGATGTGTCAAGGGGATCAATGTTTGGGATGCCAAGCGTCTCACACTTTAAGGCATGACATGATACAACTTGATAAACCATGATTTGAGTAGCTTACCATGACACTGAGGGTGTGTTGGGATCAAAGTGAAGTGTTGATCTAGAATGCGTTAGGGTGGAAACTAGAATTCTAGTAGCCACCGTGGCTACTTCAGTATCCTTCGTCAATTTTTCTATTTTTTCATTCTTTTAATCTCGCGGTTAAAATTGATTCAGGGTAATTTTGGGAAAAAAGAGCACATCTTATTATTCTATATATTCTACCTAAATCCTAATTCTACCCCCTCTCTCCAGTATAGGTGTCAAAACAGAACCCGACCGACTAACCCGCCCGATCATCCCGACCCGCAACCCGACCGCAACCCGAATTGACTAAAAATCAACAACTCGTAACACGCTCGGCCCGCAACCCGATTGACCCGCAAATCGACTGACCCGCAACCCGATTAACTCAAACCCGATTGACCCACAATCCAATCAAACACACAACCCAATTAACCCGAACCCTATTGACCCAAACCTGACTAACCCGCAACCCGGCCGACTCAACCCAAACTTCACCTAATCCACTTGAATAATTATTATATTATATAATACATAGTTTTTCAAAATGAAGTTTTTCATTCTAAACTTGGGTAAAATTATTTCTTCATTTCTTATAGGAAATTTAAAAATATGAAACTCACTTGATATTATGTAGTTTAAGAAAATTATAAAAATTGAACATGAAGGTCAATTGAACACTAAGTTCTTTAACAAAATAAAAAAGTAAATATAAAATCAGCACAATGTGAATATTCATAATTAATAATTGAGATAATGAATAATATTAATATAATATATAAATTAAAATTTTGGTTGATTTAACTATTTAATAAAGTTATCAATTAAATATAAATAAAGTAAAGCAATGTATTTGGTAATTTGATATATGAAAATTTTGGTGTATTCAACTTTTTGGGAAGAGGAAGAAGAGGGAAATTAGTTTCTTTGAATTTTTTAGAAAAGAAAAATGTGAAATTTTGGGGGGTTTTGATTTGTGGGAAGTGAAGAAGTGGGAAAGTTTGGTTCTTTTGATTATAAAAGAGAAATAAGGATAGAAATTGTGAGTTTTCAACTTTTATTGGAAGGAAGGAAGAGGAAAATTTGACTCTTTCAATTTTATGGAAGAGAATGAGGAGGCTTATTGGACATCTATACTAGAAGAGGAAAATTTGACTCTTTCATTAAGCATCGACACAACCTCGTTCGTGACACCTTATTGGACATCTATTACAGGTTTGAGATTTCTGATGCTAGCGAGGTCGATATCGGTTTGGTTGATGGGCATGACATACCCCTATGTCCTGCGGATTTGCCGCTTTATTCCTGGGACAGGGGGCAAGATTTGTGTGTAGAATTTTTTCCCACGTGGTGGTTGTGGCGAGAATTTTGCTCCCACGTTCACCACTCACGTAAAGCAATTGTCTATACATACGATTACTTTAGAAATTGTCTCAGAGGCTAGACCATGCCTTAATGTGAAAGTTGTTGGAGGGCCACTCACTACAAATGTGTTCCCACAAGCTTGCCCAACACCACTGCCATCCATGCCCATTCAGCCCGGTGAATGCGAACCGTCAGGGGGGCTGCAAGGATGGTATGAAAGCTTACTATCTGATAAGTGGAAGGTGAAATGTCAGGCTAGGGCACATTGATGTCAAGAAAAATGGAAAAAGTGATTTGTCTAAGGACTCGCCACATTTTTCAACTAAGTGTGGGAAAAAGGGCATGTCTCCAGATCCTTGCAGTGGGCAAGGGGGCATGTCACCAAACGTGAAGAATGAAGTGAGTGGCAAGTCTAAGCAGGTATTGCATACCCGTGCCATCCTTGATTTTCATAACTTTGAGATCATGTCAAAGAGTGGACAAGGAGGCAAGTTCGTGGCTAAGGCCCCGCATAGCATGCCAGCCATGAATGGTCGACAGAGGGGCATGCCATCAACCATAAATAGTGGACATGTAGGCATACTCAATAAACCATAACAAACCCGAGCCACACATGCTTGTAGTAAGCATGATAGTGTAGCTAAGTATGGCAAGTGGAGCATGTCAACAACTACTAGCAGTGGGAAGATAGACGTACCAAAGAAGCCCCAACAAACCCAAGAAAGCCATACATGCTTGTAGTAAGCGTTCTGATTTAGCTAAGTGTGGCAAGGGGGCACCTCAATAACCATGAACGATGGCATGGAGGCACGTCATGTAGTGGTGGACAAGGGGGCATGTCATCGTCTGTAAAGAAACAAGTGGGGGCCACAAGGCCAAAGATATCACATGAATGTGGAATTAACGGTCGGGGAAGTGTTATTGCTTTCCAATGGTTTGTGTTTGAAGCCAAAGTTCCGCTATGAAAGTGGTGACGCAATTAGTGTTAATTTTTATAAGTTCGGGTTTATGTTAACAACTTAGTGCATAATTATTACACACTAAGTTGTGGGGTATTTGTTTTCATCTAAAAATTAATTTCATACCGCATCGATTAATTATAAGATATTCAATGGATTTATAAGGCTAGCTCAACTTTACTAATTAAATGAGCTAATTGGGTGTTATTGAGTTAGGTCTTTTTCCCTAAGTGGCCGAATTCCCTCTCCCTGGACTAGGTGGTCGGCGGCAAAACAGGGTACCAAGCCAACAAGGGAGACTTGTTACCATGACATGAAATTTGGCTAAGTACAAAACCAAGGTTGTACCAAGATGACAAGTAGGGCTTGGTACCATGACATGGAATTTGGCTAAGTATAGATACAAAGGGGAATCAAGCATTGATAATAAAAGACATGAAAATTGGCTAAGTATGAAGCCAACAGGGTACCAAACCGGACAAGCTTGGTAACCAGGCAACAGGGTACCAGGACCCCAAGAAGATAAATTTGGCTAAGTATGAAATCTCATGGCCTAGGGTGCCATTCGACAGGGTGTCATGCCGGCCATATGGTAGGCTGAGGGTACCAAGTAGGGCAAAACAGCTGACAAGGCAGGCTTGGTATTCCTAGGTTATCAAGACCAAGTATGGAATCTCGAGGATGAAAATGGGGTACCAAACCGACACGGTGGCAAGGTACCAACCTATGAGATTCCAAAAAAAATAAGTATGGACACCTAGCCGAGAAGGCTGGCTTGGTAGCAGGGGCAAACTTGGTAGAAGGAGGTGGTGAGAATGACTTACCAACAGGGCAAGGCATCAGTGTATCAAGTAGACAAGATGGGCTTGATCCCAAGATGTCAAGATGGTGCCATGACAAGCTCTTTAAGGCTAAGTGTGGAGACGGAAAATAGGTGAAGTTCTCATCCTGTCTAGGTAGGTAACAAGGCCTAACTAACAAGACGAGTATGGCAAACCGAGAGGCTAGCTAGGTAACGAGACGGGATGGTACTAAGTCGGCATCAAAGGAGCTAAGTGTGGCGTCGTTGAGGAGGCCCGATGAGAGGACCAATGTGATGAAGGCAAGACAAGGAGGCCCCAACCCCTTCTAGCCACCATGAGGCGGCAAGATAAGCTCAACTCAACACCAATCAAGCTTGATGCCAAGCCACCGAGATGACGGTTATCAACCGATCACCAATACTGCAATGAAGAACCAAAGGCGGTTTGAAGCAACAGGCCAATTAGCAGTTACCAGGGCGGTTACCAAGTTAGTTACACCTGGTGGCTATAAATAGGAGAAACGAAGAAGAAGCAAGGGCTTCACAACCAACCATTTGACACACTATGTCAAACTTTTATATTTTCTCTGCAAATTAGCTTTACCCCCTAGTGTTCGAAGCTCTCACTGAACCTCAATAGGAGTAGAAGTAATTTAACTTAGTTTTATCAGTCATCAAAATCATCAAACATTCTCGTTCGAATATTGTTCGAAGAGGTGTGAATCGTGTGATTTATCGTTGTTCAACAAATCAATGTATATTAATTGAATTCAAACATAAGAGTTTTCCTCGCCGGAAAACAGTTTGCTTCTCCCCTATCCTATTTCCTTAATTTCGCTCTTCCCTCCCTCTCTCTCTCTCTCTCTCTCTCTCTCTCTCTCTCTCTCTCTCTGAAGGGCGAATGTTGATGGGGTTCTGTGTTTCTCTTTTCCTAATTTGGTTCGATGGCAGAGGACGGGGAAGCAGAGGAGGGACGAGTGGAGGTGGGGGTGAAGGAAGGAATATCATCAATAGCTTTGTTACCATGTGGGTCGATTTCTGGACATTTCATTCAGCTTCCTGGCTCCATTTGCTATGGCCTTTAATTGCATGCTATTACAAATTGACACCCTCTCCAATTCCTTCACCTCAGTTTCAGCAAGGTTTGGTTGACTACTTTTTCATACAAACTATTTTTCTCTATGCTCTTTTCTTGCTGAACATTTCATTTCTGGTCCAAAAGAGGTAGCTTGTGAAAGGGACTGCAGCAAGGGTGAGGATTATCGCCTCACCAAGCTTACCATCATTGACTACAATGTATGAAGCACTACAAGTTACTGTAGTTTGTCAAATTCACTTCTCCTTTTCCCTTCATTTCGCCTTTCTCGTTCTCAGACATCCTAATCATCCTTAATGACTGTAATCTCTGCAACAGAGCAAGAAAGAACAAGATGTAATGGTTGAATGTAGAGGTCATGATGCTGCTCGGTTATCTAACATCGACCATGCTCAAGGGTATTGGAGAAACTTGATTCCTTGCCAAATTCCTAGCATCAAACAGCACGTTAAAAAAAATTACAAGCTTTTATTTTAGAATGATTTGTTTTCTTGTTCTGCAGGTGGGGAAAAGATGTTGCTGGCATGGTAGAAGATAAACATGGCAAAGAAAGCAAAGTATCAGTTTCATTTGAGTGTAAAACTGAAAAGTCAGAGGAGTCGACGATAGAGTCTCAACGTAATTAGGAGGATACGCATAGAGGGTAAGGATTTTGACAACTTGTGACATAATTCCATTGAGACGTAAAACAGACTCGGGAAGTGATCATCTAATACAGGCTGATTTAATCACATGCAGTTTTGGATGAATCATTGCAGATACACTTATCTGCTATTCTAACAATATGATGTGTACAGACAACTTACAACATTGCTTGTAAGCAAGTAATACTACCACAACAAACAACAAACAAGGATGGTCAGTAACGCCTATAAAAGGCCAGATGCTTCAAACTTTTCAGGCGAGATACAGGAGCAGCAGCGGGGCAAGCTTTACAACAGCAGTAGCACTAGCAGAAAGAGAGAGCATATCATTTCGGATTCACGACCATTGTCTCCATACAGAGAATCGTCATCCATGCTGCACAGAAGAAACATTTTACATAAGTCAAGTTACAAGTTATTTCTATGTTTTTTCAGGAAAACCATGTATATCAAGACTCGTGTATTTGCAAAATACATGACTTCGTGGATTCAAGAAATCTTTCGTAAAGCCCCAAAGCTTTCAAGAATACGTACTTTTGATGGGCACTGCCACTGGTTTCTATTTAAAATCGATCCAAACCAGTCGTTGTTTTCTAACAATACATGCACTATGTACATCACACATTCGTAATACATGCATGGTTAGATACAAGTAGTCTATAACACATGGTAACCAAACAACCCCTTATCTATCATTCCTAGACACCAACCCCATGTTAGAAGAACGTCTGGAATTGCACAGATGGTGCCACAAAGTTTTTCCTCAAAAGTGTTAGACCCACATGCATAGGCATTTCACAGCGAATACAGGTGTTAAGGCCCAAGATGGAAGACATTGATTCCCACCTAGAGCCATTTGGACAAGATGCAATTTGAGAAAACAGAAAAGTCAAAAAGCCTAAAGATTAATGAGCTAGCAGTCTCAGTTTCTATGGATACCAGCCCTGTAAAAGCTTTTAACTCGAGAGCTTCAGGATACAGTGACAGGCATACATTCAGCTTTAGTTTTTCTTTTTCTTTCTATTCCTAATAGTTTCCTTATGCAAGTTTAAATCTACTAGGAAAATTCATACTTAGTTTAGGAATGATAATATGATTAGTTTGCTCGCCCATTAAGCTTCATTGTAACTCCTGCACAAGGAGGCTAGTTCTACAGCATTCACTTATCAGATTTCAGTATGAATTTTCAGACCTTATGGAAGAGTTATTCCATGCTATTTCTAAAACTTATCAACTTAGGTGATGGTGTCAAACTACCAAACCTTATCACTGGTGATCCATCAAAACTCCCTAGTTTTCACTGTATCGCCCAATTCAAGCAGCTCTATTTTCACTGTATCACCCTTTCTTAGTATTCATTGGAAATGGGATATGAAAGAAACATTTAATAACGGAAATTGACCTTATAGTATTAGCTCAATTTGATTCAAGCAAAAATGGGGTTGCTAGTGAAGGAAGGGGAAGATACCTGGATCCAAATCTGACTATCACTCGATCTCAGATACCTCTTCCGACTCTGACAAGGGTAAGAGGGTACATATTCCCAGCATATGACCGTTAAGGCACACATAATACTCAATGCAATCTTCATAAGAACCCAATCTGCAGCTTGCGCTCGTTGGTATCATCTTTGCTTGAAGCATGTTCCAAAGCTTCGCCTTACAATATGGACACACATGTGTAGGGTGCAGTGGGACCCCTCTTTGTATCAGCAACTTCCTCACCTTCGACATTGAGAATGACTTGAAAATCCCTCTAAAAAATCCTATATCCCCTTCATCCCCTTGGTCTAGATGCTCACATGGGTCCGAAACATATAGAACATCAGTTCTACACTGAGGCAGAAGAAAGGATTTCCCAGAAGTTCTTGAAAACCGAGTCCTGTAAACAAAATGGCCAGGTATCTGAATGTTATTGAATAAGCCACCCCTGTTACATCCTGAACAGTAGATGAGCAACTTCCCCAGTGCCCTCCAGTTTCCATCAACACTGTGACTTCCGCTTGATTGTAGATCAACCATCATCTTTGGAGCCCTTGTCTTGCAGAACTCTTTCCATAATACTCGCTTGGCAAGGTCATCGAACCACTTGCACGAACATGATAGAGCAGCTATCAACTTGGGGTTCCAGTTCAGCTGTTGAAAGACTAAGAATATCACGTCTTCACTTAGATGCCCTTTTGTGCATTGACAGCTTGATGAGTGTATGCATCGGTATTGCTTTGTTAGGATCATTATATGTACCTAGTAAGAAACAAAGATGGTGCAACGAAGTTCAATACCAATCTTGGACACAATTATTTGACTCGCCTAGAGACTCTACAGAGACAGACTGCCATCGCACAAGGAAATACTGATGATGTCATAATTGCTGCGCGACGGGGAAGAAAGCCAATGCAATATGCACACCCTCACTATTCCACTTTCAGAGAGAAGTAGTTCAGAAACAAAATAACAACAGTAAAAAGCTTACAAAATAGCTCCAATTTTCTACCTTCTGCTAAGAGAGAAAGGAAAACCAGAAATAGATCATCGTGAATCACCATAGTTTCAAAGCACAAAGGGAGTGCAAAGAAGAAAAGCTTTCATTACAATAAAGACAAAGTTGTGTAGCTTCGATATCAAAATTCCGCAACTGTGAGAACATTCTCATCAGTTAACTACATAGTATATGAAAGCTTAGAACATCCCACCACTATAAGCTACAAGGTAAAACTCACGCACAAGTTTACAGAATAAGAGGTTCGGACGTATTGGTGACCAGTCTTAATCAAAAAGCATTGCAACGCTGCTTTTCTTCTTGGTGGTTAATGCTAATTCTATCAATGTAGCTAAACTAGTGTAAAATGATGATTGCGGTGCTCATTGAAACCAAAACTACCACTGAATAAAGAACAAGACAAGTGATGCGAAATTCTTACTAACTGTTTATGACTTAAGGCTCGTTATCCCTCAACTGACATAAGCATAAGTATGCTGGATAACAATTAATTTGACGCCATGAAATGAAGCTGGGTAACAGTCAGCTAGCTCTCTAGCTCTATCTATTTTAAGGTCAGAAGCACTAAGCATCCAGACCTGACTAGCCATAACCCTCAAACAAAGAAAGTTCCTGTTATTCAACTTCATACGCCATGATGGAACAGACGTTATCACAAAATTGAAGATAAAGGCCACAGACATAACAGCTCGAGTATGATTCTGAATCAGCACGAAGGAAGGAGCTGAAGCAGGGCAAAGCCAATACGAAAGCTGAAGTCTGCTTGCCTCAACCCACAGGGAAAACAACCAACGCGATTGCTTCCAAGTGCACCTTCCGCGTGGCTAAAAGGATCATTAGTAGAACACGCTTAAGTACAAAAAAACATTACAGCTATTGAAAAAACAAACAGTTAATCCATGCAGCATTTTTGCCCCAATCGCTTGTCTGAAAGAACATTCTAAAATCTCTAGGTAGCTCAAGCCCCAGCAATTTCTAAGGCCTCCATGAAACATAGTACAGGGCTTACAAATACTCCATTTCTCTAGCAGCGAGCTGCGCTCCTCCAATGGGAGAAAGCATGCTCATTAAGAAATCTAAAAGCAGGGACAGTAGAATATAAACGCAAACTAAATAGAAATTGGGTTTGAAGAACACGGCTAAAACCTTTAAATTCTGAGCAGTAAGCGATGGGGTTGCTTCCAGACACAACACACAAGCTAGCTTAAGCAGAGATGAAGATGATAGATTTCGACTACAGTTTCCTGGCCGGAAGGATAGCTTAAGTTTCCGTAATCGACCAAAGAGAAGAGAAACACAGAAAGCAAGGTGGCGATAGCTGCCGGCGACCAGAAGCGATGACAACCGGCGATCACTCCCGCAGGCTCTGCTTCTCTCTCTCGCTCTGTAAATCGATTGAACTTCAGGAATAAAAAGAATGACTACCTTCCCCGCCTTTCTCTTATTCGCCCTAAAATTCCATCTCGTCTCTCTCAGCTCTCAGTACCCCGATCCAGTCTCCCCCGATCATATTTTGTCCTTTTCCTTTCTTTATCGCCAGTTTTTCCTCTCTATTTCTCTTTTCTATTCAGTTCATTTATTTGTTTTTTATTTATTTATTCATTTATCTATCGTTTTCTCTTTTCTACTCAGTGCTAATACTTTTTTTAGTATGATGTTTTAATACTAGTTCTAGGGAATTAGAACATTTTGTTTGGATGACTTTTCTATTTAAATGAGTTGACTACAATAAATGAGGGTAGTGATGGCAATTTCGACCTGACCTGTTTGCCGTGTTTTGGAGCGGGACGAGCATGGGTACTCTCATTGACCTGACTTGCCCTGACCCGCCCTATTCTCGACCCGTTCTTGCCTAAATTATATGTAATCTTAGTCAAATTACTTAGAATTTTTCTTTTATTACATCGAAATTTAGCTATAATAAAGTTGTAAATTAGTGAAAACCCCAATTTCTCTAATAATTTAACTACATTATCATAATATTGTTTGTTTTATTAGTCTTATAATAAAAATAGGGTAAATGCCACATTTGGTCACTGAGATTACTAAATCGTGTCATGTTTAGTCACTAGAAAAAATTAATATCAATTTTGGTCACTCGCATTACTGAAACAGGTCACATTTAGTCACTCTCCCGTTAGAACTAACGGGAGAGTGACTAAATGTGACATGTTTCAGTAATTCGAGTGACTACATGTGAAATGTTTCAATAATTCTAATGACCGGAGTTGGACAGAGACTACAGGAGAGTGACCAAATGTGACATGTTTTAGTAATTCGAGTGACCATAATTGATATTAAATTTTTCTAGTGACTAAACATGACACGATTTAGTAATCTCAGCAACCAAATGTGGCATTTACCCAATAAAAATAACTAATGTTTCTAATGTTTTTCATATAAATTGCATATCATTGGGTCGACCTGACCCGACCTACGACCCATGATAAATTACCCGACCTGTCACGGGGCGGGTCTGGGTACCAAGAAACCCGCCCCGGACTTGCCCGATTGCCATTCCTAAATGAGGGGAAAGATAAAGGAGGGGCACGCTTGGTATTATGAAAATTGGGGAATGGGAGGAAGTAAGGAAGGAAGGGGGACACGAAGCAGGCCACAACCTCAAAACATGTCACAACCTCCAAGGCATGTCACAACCTTCTCAAAGTATGTCACAACCTCAAAGCATGCCACAACTACAAAGCATGCCACAAGTTTATAAAACATGCCACAAGTAGTGGACTTGTTTGTAAATTTGGAAAAGTTTAGGTACCAAAATGTAAGGAAAAAATTTTCAGGTACAAAATATTAATACATATTAAGTTCAGCTACCAGAATTGTAATTTGTAAATATAACATGGAAAAGTAACATTAATACTATAATACTATAACATGGAAAAGTGGTGGAGAAGGGAGGGGGAATGAAGAAGGGTTAAAATACTATAATACCCTTAATGAATGTGTTAGTATGGTGCTAACACTCTTAAGTGTTAGCACCCTATCCACTCCCGTCTCACAATCAATTTGTTAGTACGGTGCTAATACTTGATTAAGTCAATAGTTACTTTTCATTTTGATTTTTTATTTATTTCAAGAGATTGATCACAATTAATTCGAATTTATAAAGGGAGGGGAACGTTTGTCATTACTAAAAATTGGGGGCACAAGTATGTGGTGTTGTGCATTAATTTCGCATTACAAGTATCATGAAGTAGACCACAAACGCATACCATGCACACAACAAATCCCACCAAAAATACTAGAAAATGTATAAAATATATCAAAACCTCACCACACTACAAATATCAGAAAACTTAAAGCAGACAAGAACTTAACCACGCCACAAAATTCATAAAGCATACTACAAGTTTTTTAAAACAAGCCACAAGTTATTAAAACATATCATCAATTTCTTAAAACATACTGCATGTTCTTTGAAGCATACCAGAAATCTTATAAAGCATGAAACAAGTTTATTAAAGTAAACCACAAGTTTATTTAAGTATACAAGAAACCTCATAAAGCATATCAAATGTTCCCTTAAGCATACAAGAAGCCACATTAAACATACCACAAGTTTATTAAAGCATACCACAAAATCTCATAAAGCATACCCACAAGTTTCTTTAAATTTTTTTTAATTTCTAAAGTATACCAAAAATCTCATAAACTTGGACCTATTTGTATATTTAAAAAGTTTAGAACACAAATGTAAGACATAAAAATTTTAGTTACTAAAATGTATGGTAACTTATTCTTCTTCTTCTAGCCATCAACCAGAGAATGTCAAAAGGTAGACGAATCGTCATGGAGGAAACAACGGAAACCCAAGAAGAGAAGCAAGAACCACACAAACAGATAGATACAGTGAAAGGAGAAAAAGAGAGAAGGATGACAAGAGGAGAGACGATCCAAACAAGCTTTTGAGCGGAAGAATGGAAGAGAAGATCCTCACACAAGGGAAAATCAAACCTCAACCTCCTTTGTTTTCAACATTGTCTCAGTTCTCACCATCTTCATCTCTCCTAGAAAAATCATATATGACTATTTAGTAGGGGTGAAAGCTTATCCCGGAAGACCCACTGACCCGTCCCGACCCGTCCCGTCCCGTCCCTAAGGGTCGAGACGGGTCAGTTTGTCTATGGGGACAGATTAGGGACGGGTCATTTGTTGACTTGACCCTATAAGGGTCGGGACGGGTCGGGACAACTTAGGGACGGGTCACGTTTTGACCCTGTGACCCTTAGCAACAACAAATATCTCATACTTCATTGGACCTTTTTATAAAGTTTTAAAAGTGTAGGTACTAATTTGTAAAAATAAAAAAAATTGGGTACCAAAACATAATTTTACCATCAAAATTTATGGACTTATTTGTAAAAAAAAATAAATTTTAGGTATTAAATTGTAAGAAAAAATAATTTTGGGTACCAAAACGTAATTTGTAAAAAAGTAGTGTGTTGATTAGGGTCGACCCACTGACCCGGCCCGTCCCGTCCCAACCCTTGAGGGTCAGACAGGGTCAAGAAGGAGACAGGGACGAGACGGGACGGTTATACATCTTCACCCTTCAGGGACGGGTCAGACAGGGACAGGGACGGGACATGCAAATTTTCAGCCCTAGTATTTAGGAGAGTACTAGTTGTGGAGAAGGAGCAGTCGAGCAGAGGAGAGGGAGCAGCCATATATGAATAAGGTATTTGCGTCTTTGGGAACCATCGTCGGCCTGGAAGAGAGAGTGGGCGATGATCACGAGTAGTTGGTGGATGTTGGAGTGGATGATCCCGAAGAGAAATTTCTAACGACCAACCAAACGAAAATATGGTCTAACTGGCAAATTTGAGAAACAAATGGCATTTTAGTGTGCCTATAAATAGGAGGTCATTTTCTAATGAATTCTCACATCGTCTTCCACCATTCTTAACTATCGTCTCCAACACATACCATTCACCATCGTGAACAAGGTCCATGCATTTTGATTGCTCAACCAATTAAGAGATTATAGCATATGCGAGGTATGTGTATATGAACCTTTGTTTGTACCTGAGTGAATATTCTATTTGATGTGATCCTCCAGAGCGACCCAAAACCTCTCCATTCGAAGGTGAATGAAGGATGCACCTCGAGGAAGCCAGAAGGGGCGAGGAGTACAAAATCCACGGCAGAAGCACTAAGTCCACGGCCATGGAACCAAAGGTGTGAGTGTACGTGGGCACCGGGCCGTGCCGCCCACGGGCTAGCACGACACGAAATAAATGGACCAGCACGGCACGAGCACGAATAATTTATGATATGTGGCGGGCCTAAACTTCATGAGCACGGGCACAACACTGTATATAAATGGGCCGTGTCTGGCCTAATATTTTCGAGACTTTATTGATTTAAGAACGGACATGACACGAAAATAATATTTATTTGATAGAAAATAAATATAAAATGAATTATAGGTTCAAATATTACAAAACACAAGTAGAAAAATAATTATTTGTTGTTGTTAGAAGTGTCATAAAGATATTCGTAATTACTAGCATAAGTAAAAATGGACTAAGAATTAAACAAAGTCAAATCACACTCGCTATACTTCTAATTTTCTTTTCCCCTTATTTGTTACTTTTCTTAAACATTATCGGTTAATACTATCTTCCCCCGTCCAATTTTCACCTTATTTTTCATTCTCTCTTTTGCTTTCGTCCTTTCCATTAAACACGAATACGAGCATGGCACGAGCAAGAATAGGCACCGCACGATTCGAACCGTGCCCGGGCCTGGGCCGGGCCTAGCAAAGTTAAAAAATGGGCTTGCATGGCATGACACGAAAACTGACGGGCCGTGCCAAACACGACACGAAATAAATGGGCCCGAAGAGTGCCAGTGCCATGCCGGCCCAAGCAAGGCACAACGCCCATGTACAGGTGTGACCGCGGATTTGTGGCAGGGAAGTTCCACGACCAGAGACTCCAAATCCACCACCGTAGAATTCAAGGTTAGCCCATGGTATTTCAACTAACGAGTTAAAATTACCTTTTCGGTTTGGAATTTTGTTTCTTTGCTGATTTTTGGTTATTTTATTTTCCATGGACTATATATAGGGCTTGATATGCTAATTTTTGTTAGACTTTGATCAATATTGATATTTCCTTTGTTCTTTTGAGCTTTAGACTTGATAATTTTCTGCTTTGTAACAATCAAGTTTTCTCCTTGATTGTGGTCGAGCTTCTATCTTTTATAGTGTTAGAGCCTTCTCCCATCTTTGTGTTGAGATTGCACTTTCAATTCCACCATATCCCAAAACAAAAACGGCAAAACCCATAAAAATCCCTTTTCTTGTTCAATTTTGAAGTTGTGTGACTTTGATAACTACGGGTATCGGATTCGTGCTCGTATCATTATTAGTATATTGAAATTGTATGCGTGAATTAGTTAGTGACTCGCTAAAACACAACACTAAACTACGACCAAGTGTAATCGCAGTTCAGAAATGGAGAATAGTGGTTTAGTTT